TTTTTTTAAAAAAAGGAATTTTCCTTTGCCTAGACTTCTCTTAAATTGTTCTCAAAATGCTGCAACTTGCAAAACATTGGCAGGGTTTAAATTACTTCTGGTACTCTCCCAGTGCAGCAGCACTGTAATCTCTCTTTCAGCCTCCTGCTTGGTGCTTGTAAATCCATCCATCAGTCTTGCAGTTCCCCTCTCACTGCAGCCTCCAGAGCCGCCCCCCCGCCCCCCTTGCTTCTAATCCTTCTGTAGAGGGTTAGGTGAGTTTTCCACAGGAACTCTGTGCCTTCCAAGGCAAACACAATAACATAAAGAACCCTGGGGTCTTCAGAAGTTGCATTCAGTATACCTTTGCATCAAACTCATCTAGTAGACTTTACAAGAAGGCACTCTTGCAACCTGCTACCCGTTGTGTGCCAACCCCCATCCCCAGTGTCACAACCTCCAGTTTGAGAAATACTGCCTTAATGTGTAAAGTTCCTGCAGGGAAGAATGTATGTGTGGAAATAGATATTAATCTTTTTCTTACCCACCAGTTGTCCATGCTTTTAATTAATTTTTAATCTTCCTGAAAAGTAAAGTGAAAGTAAGCACATCTGTATTTTGTACAGGTATAGAAGAATTTGAAAACATAGAAGGGGGCCTGGGAAAAGGGGTAATTTAGACTCACCAGTCCTTCTCTCTAGTTTTCTATATGTATTCCCCTTGCATTAATAAATGAAGGTCTCTGAATATCTGTTTGTTGAGAAACTGCAAAGATTGATTTTATATATTTTGTTTAGTGTTAAACATGTTCATTTCTCTTTTTTTCTGCTCCCTTTTGTCTCATTACTATGGAAAAGCAAAGAACTGTCAGCTGCATGTTATTTTTCTCTATATGACATTTGGGGTCGTTGTTCTAATTTTAAATTTGCTTAACGTTGCATTCCATTCTCTGAAAAATACCTGTCATATCACAGCATAGGTGTATTTGTTTTCCCAGTGTAAGTAACAACTCTCGGATTTTGAGTCTGTTGGCACAACTGGAGAAGATCAATGCAGAATGTTTGGTAGAAGCGGACACTGCCAGATACATTACATCAAAAATTCTTCACCTGGCTCAGAGTCAAGGTAAATAAATATACATTTCAAATGCCCATTAATTTGGGTGTGTACATGCATGTGTGTTATAAGTTCTCATATACATTCTGTATGATATTTAAACAGTTATATTTTTATAATGTTGATATAGATAGGTGGGAAATGTTATGTAATTAAGGAAAATAACTATATAATTTTCCTTAACTCTATAAATATAAAATTTTCATAGAGCTAGTCTAACCTGCTTGGGTAGTATTTACTTTGCTTTTCTCCTGTTTTCTGTTCTGATCTGGCTAGTACATTTATTCCATTATTTTCTACCCCTATAGTTCCTAGGTCAAAACCAAAAGTAGATCCTAGGCTTTAATTTTTCAGCTTCCAGTGTTTTTTTTTTTTTTTTACATCTCAGCTCTTTTCTTGTCTATATATTGCACCAGTTTTTTATTCTGGGCAAAAGTGACAGATGATCTTTGCCCTCACTCTGTCCCAGCATTTCCTGAAATCTATTCTTCATGATTTCAGATCCCTGGTTTTAAATTGCTCATGATCATTAGTGGTTTTTTATTAGTCCACTCTTTGTCCTCCTTTCATCTCCCCCTCAAAGATCTATTGAAAAAGAAATTCATGTTTTAATTGCATGCAGTTTTAGCATTGCAAGATCATATGTATTATCAAGAAGTTGAATATAAAAAATCCTTTTAAAAATCCATCTTATATATGAATAAATACACTATTCTGATGATAAATTTGGAACAGAATACTAATTCTGTATTGTGCACATGTATTAAGAAGAAACCTCAACCCAATACCAGAGAAGTGTATTTTTTGCTTTTGCTATGTTGATAATATGTTTAAGTGAAACCATTGCTTTCACTTGGGATCAATCACTAGCTGCAAAAGGTATGCTTAATTGTTACTACCACTTTTTACATGTCTAAACTTTAAAAAAAATAATCCCCTTGGACATTTTTTTTCCTATTAATATCCTGGTACTTAGCAATCACCCCAACCTTTTTTGTTGCCTTAGGATGAAAAACAAGGGAGCAAGGATTTTGTTTCAGATCCCCACTGTTCTGTGTGGTGGAATATTCAAAACATTTCAGGTTGTGTTCTCTTTGAACATAAGTCACTTCACATGAATCAAGTAGAGATGTTTTATATCTAGTGAAAACAAATCCATTTTTGTTTCTGTGTACTATTAATCTTGAGCAAATTGAATGTTTTTCTTATGGGATATAAGCAGGAATCTGTAACAAACTGTTGTGATCTATAAATGCTTGTTACTGCCCTTTCCAGCTTATTTCATTTATTGTATTCCCAATTCTTCCTTTTTTTTTCCTTTTCATTTTTTCTCCCTCCTTTTCAATGGTCAGCTGGTATTCTATAGTCTTTAAGCATTCATAGTTGACTCTGGGCTGTTTTCTCTTTGTAGGATTTTTTCTCATTGTAGATGGAACTTTCCTGGTTACAGAAAGATTGGTACTTAGAGAATGACTTTGCTATACAAGATTGGCTAGTGTAGCATTTTATATTTAAGAAGCTCAGACTTAAAACTTTCTAGAAGATGATCCATGATGTCTAATACTAGCTTGTATGGTTTGCTTTTATGTGGTTATCTTTTCTACACCTTTTTAAAGTCATCTACATTTACCATTTAATTACCAATTTACTCATTTATTTAACAGAAGAGTATACAACTTTTAATTTCAGAAAAAATCAGGAAAGAAATGACTGCCAAAGGTTCAACAGGGATAGAAGTTATTCTCACAACTTTAGAGGTAACAGTACAAAAATGTCACATTTTCTTGCACAGTTGGGTCAAAGTAGTAATTTTATTTATTTGATTTTTTTACAGGGCTACTATAGCATGAAAGATTAGAGTTTTATTATACTAATATAAAAACTAATAGTGTATTAGGTGCAGTTAAAACAAATGATAGCTTTTGTGCTTGGGTAGCGCTGTTTGTTTAACATGAGAAAGCCAAGGGCATGTTACAGCCAAAATTAATAGAGGTGTGCCGCCCTTCCAATTCAAGTGCAAAAAAATACTTTGAAGTGTGGTGGAAGCACTCATGCCACTTTTCTGTAGTTGTTTAAAGTAGCTCTGCCATCCTGGGAAAAGGTCCTGGTGCTTTAAAGACTTGTAGATAGGTACAATGTGATCAGCCCCACATGCTCCAAAGTACATTTGTACATTGCAGAGCCCTAAAAATTAAGTTCTTTATTGTTCTATTGAAATTAGTGGTCAACAGATATGAGATATATTGCATGTAGAACATTTATTTAATTGATTTATATAGTCGCACATCTTACATGCATTAAGATTCTGTATATAAAGAGAGGTAACTTTTGCAGACTGTAATTCTTATTTAAGAATGTAGAATTATTATTTTTGAGTTCATATATATGTAATGGAGGATATGACATAAATATTCTTGACATTCTTCCTGTTCATTCATTTCAGAACACAAGAGATTTTCAGACTACGTTAAATATCTTAAACATCTTAATTGAATTGGTGGCAGCAGGCAAGTATTTATTTCAAATGATAATTTGTTGTTTCTGTCTTACACCTCAGAACTTTTTACCTAATATATATGAATTGTTAGATAATTTTAAAATATATACAGTATTTTAATGTCGAGAAAGTAAATACTTCCATAGATAAATAATTCCAAAACAATTTGCAGTGATCATGTAAGGCAATTGTACCTTTATAAAATTGGGTTATTTTAAGATTAAAGCTAATGGCTCATATTTTTTTTTCTAGGCAGCAGCCGAAGAACAAGTTTTCTTGTTTCTCGAGGAGGGACACAGATTTTGTTGCAATTACTTGTGAATGCAAGCAAAGAATCCCCACCAAATGAAGAATTAATGGTGCTACTACATTCTCTTCTTGCTAAAATTGGTCCTAAAGGTAGGTTGAACCCAAGTGAATTCCTGTACCAGTTTTTTGCTTTTAGTGTGATGAGTATTGCTGGAATAATAGGCTGACTTTGCACAAGTGCAATCCTTCCTTGAATGGTGCCGACTGAGAAAGAATAGGATCTCCTTTAAATATTACTGGCAAAAGGTATAGAATGAACAAGTTTGGAATGGTAAGAGTAATGTCGGCCTTTATTAGAATTATGAAGGTTAGACTCCCACTGTTGCTGACATAACCTTATGCCTTTGGAAAAGGTGTTTTTTTCTTAAAATACTTATATTAAATTAAATGAATAACATTCACAGGTTATTTGTGGTGTTTAAGGACACCTTAAAATTATTTTCTCCCACACTAGCAAGCCCAGATGTTCTGCTCTATGTCCTGTTAAAGGGGACATGTGTAAAAATGGGAGATGACTTAATACCAAAGTTTTAGGATTCTTTTCCTAGAAAGTATTGCCTGATACTACGGGTTTTTTTCCCCTTTTTGTTTCTCTCCTAGACAAATCTTTTCTTTATTTTTCTCAATTAATTCAATTGATACTTTATTTTGCTTTGACTCTTTATGTTGTC